CGGTTTTAGAGTGGAAGATAGGCCTTTCTTAGGAGAGTTAGGGGCTGAGATGGGCTTAGGGACCGGTAGTTTGAGGCTAGAAAAATCCTCATAGGATGGTGATTTGGCAAGTGGTGTAAACTTGGCGAATTGTGGTTGGCTGAGGTGAGGAGTTCTAGCCAAGTCAAGGGGTGAGGTGGAACGGGCGGGAAAAGTGGTTGGTGAAATTTGAATTGTGGCGACCTTGCCTTGTGTAGAAGATTCAGCTTCCACAATCGAGGAAGATTGATTGGTGAAATCTTCCATAATTACCACGTCCGAAAAGGAAGGTCCTGATTTAGAATGATCTTGATTTGCTGCACTAATTAAAGGAGGAACCAAGACAAGATGAGAGTCTAGATTCATGCGGGGCACAAGCAGCAGCTACCCACTCGAAGATCTCCACCGAGAGAAGGCGGAGATATGACGGAGACACGAAAAACCGATGACAAGACACGAAACAAAATGAGGACGAAACAAACCTCCACTAAATCTGAAATTAAAGAAGCAGAACGAGCAAAAAACGCCCAAGAATGGGAGCAAAAACGAGGCTGAGATCACAAGGAATGAAAGCAGCCCTAAAACCGAATGAAATGAAGGAGAAACAACCAAAAAACGACACAAAAACACAAGAATACGGCTGACCCAAACACAAACACGAAAAAACAAAGAACACTACCAAATTTTGAGAAAATTATATGCAAAGAGCACGAAAACCTCAAAACCGATGGATAATTGAACTAAAATGACAATAAGAAACGATGATCAACTAACCAGAATGAATGAAATGAAAAAAGAATATATGAATGGCTAAAATCGATCAAAATCTTCGTAGGAAAGACACAACTTTCTAGAGAGAAGGCAGAGCGTTTTTTCTTGAGAGAGAAACATTTTTTTACCTATAGAATACTAAATCCACAATTTATAACAGAAATATAAATTAATCCATAAAATAATCCACGTAAACTTAACCGTCGAGTGTTATTTCTAAACTCCACTGTATCTTTTGTATCTAGTGTTTTTGCTATTGTTTGGTTATTCGTATTAAAGTCCTAGTGTTGTATTTCGTGTTTTTAAGAAGGTTGTTGCGAATGCACTTTTGCGCATGTTTTTTTACATGTACATTTGTGCATGTCCATTTGAGCGAGTGTGTTTGTGCATGTTTGTGTATATGTATTAATGTCCAAGGATTGTAGTTTGAGTTTTCACGATACTTTTTGCGAATACACTTTTGCGTGAGTATTTTTGTGCGTGCTTTTGTACTATTACTTATGTGCGTATATTTTGTAGCGAGTGTTTTTGTGCACATTTATTGATGCGCATTCGTGTCCTCGTACAGTAGCACGTATTTTCATGATCGATTTTGGAATCCAATTTTGACTATGTTCGAGTCCGAATTTGGAATTGACATTAGACAGGAATTTTAGCTAGCTAAAATAGCTTTCTAATGCCGCCGGAACCAGTTGATTTGGAGTCCGGATGAGAAAGTTATGCTCGACTTTGTGGACACTACCGAAGATGTTGAGGGATCCTCTCTTCTAATTTGATTTTATTTTCCTTATTGCAACTCTTTTCTTACTCTTTGATCATTTTTGCTTTGTTGACGCTTAATTATCAATTTGTACCTATAGAATACTAAATCCACCAATTATAACAGAAATATAAATTAATCCACGAAAACTTAAACGTCGAGTGTTATTTCTAAACTCCACCGTATCTTTTGTATCTAGTGTTTTTGATATTGTTTGGTTATGCGTATTAAATTCCTAGTGTTGTATTTCGTGTTTTTAAGAAGGTTGTTGAGAATGCACTTTTGCGCATGTTTTTTTACATGTACATTTGTGCATGTCCATTTGAGCGAGTGTGTTTCTACATGTTTGTTGATATGTACTAATGTCCTAGGTATGTAGTTTGTGTATTCATGATCCTTTAAACGAATGCACTTTTGCGTGAGTACTTTTGTGCGTGCTTTTGTACTATTACTTATGTGCGTATATTTTCTAGCGAGTGTTTTTGTGCACGTTTATTGATGCGTATTCGTGTCCTCGTTCTGTAGCACGTATTTTCATGATCGCTTTTGGAATCCAATTTTGACTATGTTCGAGTCCAAATTCGGAAATTTGACATTAGCGAGGAATGGTAGCTAGCTAAAATAGCTTTCTAATGCCGCCGGAACCAGTTGATTTGGAGTCCGGATGATAAAGTTATGCTCGACTTCGTGGACACCACCGAAGATGTTGAGGGATCCTCTCTTCTAATTTGATTTTATTTTCCTAATTGCAACTCTTTTCTTACTCTTTGATCATTTTTGCTTTGTTGACACTTAATTATCAATTTGTACCTATAGAATACTAAATCCACCAATTATAACAGAAATATAAATTAATCCATAAACTAATCCACGTAAACTTAGACGTCGAGTGTTATTTCTAAACTCCACTGTATCTTTTGTATCTAGTGTTTTTGCTATTGTTTGGTTATGCGTATTAAAGTCCTAGTGTTGTATTCCGTGTATTCACGAAGGTTGTTGCGAATGCCCTTTTGCGCATGTTTTTTTACATGTACATTTGTGCATGTCCATTTGAGCGAGTGTGTTTCTGCATGTTTGTTGATATGTACTAATGTCCTAGGATTGTAGTTTGTGTTTTCATGATCCTTTTTGCGAATGCACTTTTGAGTGAGTACTTTTGTGCGTGCTTTTGCACTATTACTTATGTGCGTATATTTTGTAGCGAGTGTTTTGTGCACGTTTATTGATTCGTATTCGTGTCCTCGTACTGTAGCACGTATTTTCATGATCGCTTTTGGAATCAAATTTTGACTATGTTCGAGTCCGAATTTGGAAATTTGACATTAGCGAGGAATGGTAGCTAGCTAAAATAGCTTTCTAATGCTGCCGAAACCAGTTGATTTGGAGTCCGGATGAGAAAGTTATGCTCGACTTCGTGGACACTACCGAAGATGTTTAGGGATCCTCTCTTCTAATTTGATTTTATTTTCCTAATTGCAACTCTTTTCTTACTCTTTGATCATTTTTGCTTTGTTGACACTTAATTTTCAATTTGTACCTATAGAATACTAAATCCACCAATTACAACAGAAATATAAATTAATCCATAAACTAATCCACGTAAACTTAAACGTCGAGTGTTATTTCTAAACTCCACTGTATCTTTTGTATCTAGTGTTTTTGCTATTGTTTGGTTATGCGTATTAAAGTCCTAGTGTTGTATTTCGTGTTTTTAAGAAGGTTGTTGCGAATGCACTTTTGCGCATGTTTTTTTTACATGTACATTTGTGCATGTCCATTTGAGCAAGTGTGTTTGTGCATGTGTTGTTGATATGTATTAATGTCCTAGGATTGTAGTTTGTGTTTTCATGATCCTTTTTGCGAATGCACTTTTGCGTGAGTACTTTTGTGCGTGCTTTTGCACTATTACTTATGTGCGTATATTTTGTAGCGAGTGTTTTTGTGCACGTTTATTGATGCGCATTCGTGTCCTCGTACTGTAGCACGTATTTTCATGATCGCTTTTGGAATCCAATTTTGTCTATGTTCGAGTCCAAATTCGGAAATTTGACATTAGACAGAAATTGTAGCTACCTAAAATAGCTTTCTAATGCCGCCGGAACCAGTTGATTTGGAGTCCGGATGATAAAGTTATGCTCGACTTCGTGGACACTACCGAAGTTGTTGAGGGATCCTCTCTTCTAATTTGATTTTATTTTCCTAATTGCAACTCTTTTCTTACTCTTTGATCATTTTTGCTTTGTTGACACTTAATTATCAAGTTGTACCTATAGAATACTAAATCCACCAATAATAAAAGAAATATAAATTAATCCATAAACTAATCCACGTAAACTTAAACGTTGAGTGATATTTCTAAACTCCACTGTATCTTTTGTATCTAGTGTTTTTGCAATTGTTTGGTTATGCGTATTAAAGTCCTAGTGTTGTATTTCGTGTTTTTAAGAAGGTTGTTGCGAATGCACTTTTGCGCATGTTTTTTTACATGTACATTTGTGCATGTCCATTTGAGCAAGTGTGTTTGTGCATGTGTTGTTGATATGTATTAATGTCCTAGGATTGTAGTTTGTGTTTTCATGATCCTTTTTGCGAATGCACTTTTGCGTGAGTACTTTTGTGCGTGCTTTTGCACTATTACTTATGTGCGTATATTTTGTAGCGAGTGTTTTGTGCACGTTTATTGATTCGCATTCGTGTCCTCGTACTGTAGCACGTATTTTCATGATCGCTTTTGGAATCAAATTTTGACTATGTTCGAGTCCGAATTTGGAAATTTGACATTAGAGAGGAATTGTAGCTAGCTAAAATAGCTTTCTAATGCTGCCGAAACCAGTTGATTTGGAGTCCGGATGAGAAAGTTATGCTCGACTTCGTGGACACTACCGAAGATGTTTAGGGATCCTCTCTTCTAATTTGATTTTATTTTCCTAATTGCAACTCTTTTCTTACTCTTTGATCATTTTTGTTTTGTTGACACTTAATTATCAATTTGTACCTATAGAATACTAAATCCACCAATTATAACAGAAATATAAATTAATCCATAAAATAATCCACGTAAACTTAGACGTCGAGTGTTATTTCTAAACTCCACTGTATCTTTTGTATCTAGTGTTTTTGCTATTGTTTGGTTATGCGTTTTAAAGTCCTAGTGTTGTATTTTGTGTTTTTAAGAAGGTTGTTGCGAATGCACTTTTGCGCATGTTTTTTTACATGTACATTTGTGCGTATCCATTTGAGCGAGTGTGTTTGTGCATGTTTGTGTGTAATGCCCAATCATCCATAGATGGCCAATAAATAAGCATATTGCATCAATTCATATAAGAAGAATTCATTATTCATGATGCATGATCACAACTACTTGCTACACATGTGCCTTAATTGTGTTTTAATACGGGATCGAATAATTGTCTGAAAATGTGCTAAACGGTCATATATTCGTCCCAGATGCATTTCTGCATTTTAATTACATTTTAATATGATTAATTACATATATAATTACATGAAGTAGCTCATATTAGACTAAAATCAAAAGTATGCAAAAGGGTGCAATTTGATTGGTTGGTTGACTAGGTTGCACAAGACCATTCTCAAATTGTTTACACTTGATTATAATGAGTAAGCATCAGCCCCCATCTTATCTCAAGCTATAAAAACGTGGAGGAACCACAAGAATCCAGCAAATACAAGCCTTCCAATCATCATCCTCCATTTGGCCTTGTTGGGAATGGGTAGATAAGTGAAGACTTTGTGTTTTGGTCTTCATTTCACTTGTCTTCTTCCAAAAAACGACCAGACCAATTCCTTAAGCTTCTCTTCTTATTTCTTCACTTCCATATTCACATAAGAGAACATCAAACCATAAAAACTCATAGAAGTATAGCTAGGACAAGTTCTGCACCTTTTCTAGCTGAAAATCCTATGTTTTGAAGTTTGAATTCATCTCTAATCAAGTCTTGTAGCACACCTTATCTAAGGACTGATCCTTTCACTTCATAGACCATATTGAACTTGAGGTAAGTTGAAGCTTTCATTTGCTCATCATAAGAACCTAATTATGTGTGCTTTAATGTGACTTTTGCTACGTGTTCTCCATGATGTTTGAATGATTGATGAGTCATAGTGATATGAAAGAATATGTTTTGAAAATGGGAGTATGGTACTTGATTGATGGTCGAGTAGGCAAGGGACGCGGGAGGAACCGGCGGACCCAACACATGGTGGCAAATACCTGAGGTCGAAAGACCAGTATGGAAAACCCACAATTAATGAAATAAAGTACGGCTAATACCTGAGGTCGAAAGGCCGGTATGGAAACCCCGTATTATCTATTGGCCAAATATCATGAACAGGTTCCGAAAACGAAAGCCTATTGCTATCAGTCAAGTACCACACTTCAAGGGTACCCGATAAAAAGAAGGATTTCAAAGAAAAAGGATCACGAATGAAGTTATATGTGATATTGTACATATTGAATGAATAACGTGTTATGTGATATATTGCTATTACATCCGTTTCAACTTGCTGAGCCATAAGCTCATTAGGTTCTTATGATGCAGGTAATGATGTACATGTTTAGAAGTTGACCTAGCCAAGAGCGGCCAGTCAGATATTTGTTCATATGCCATGCTTCGCGCCATTTTTGTAGCCGAGCTAGAAACTCTGATTTCATTTTGTTAGCCGCTCTATTATGGTTTTTGTACAATATAATTTTGCAAACAATAAATATGTATATATATGTACAGATTTCGAGAAAGTACAAAGTTTGATTTCTTTTCAAAGCATATAACGTATTTTTGTATTAAAACCATAATGTTTAAGTGTATATATAAAAGGGTAGCATCCCTAACTTAATGGTGGTGATCCGATTGGATTCTGCTGTTAGGTTGTGGGGCGTTACATTGTGTATATGTATTAATGTCCTAGGATTGTAGTTTGTGTTTTCACGATCCTTTTTGCGAATGCACTTTTGCGTGAGTACTTTTGTGCGTGCTTTTGTACTATTACTTATGTGCATATATTTTGTAGCGAGTGTTTTTGTGCACGTTTATTGATTCGCATTCGTATCCTCGTACTGTAGCACGTATTATCATGATCTCTTTTGGAATCCTATTTTGACTATGTTCGAGTCCGAATTTGGAAATTTGACATTAGACAGGAATTGTAGCTCGCTAAAATAGCTTTCTAATGCCGCCGGAACCAGTTGATTTGGAGTCCGGATGAGAAAGTTATGCTCGACTTCGTGGACACTACAGAAGATGTTGAGGGATCCTCTCTTCTAATTTGAATTGATTTTCCTAATTGCAACTCTTTTCTTACTCTTTGATCACTTTTGCTTTGTTGACACTTAATTATCAATTTCTACCTATAGAATACTAAATCTACCAATTATAACAGAAATATAAATTAATCCATAAAATAATCTACGTAAACTTAAACGTTGAGTGTTATTTCTAAACTCCCATGTATCTTTTGTATCTAGTGTTTTTGCTATTGTTTGGTTATTCGTATTAAAGTCCTAGTGTTGTATTTCGTGTTTTTAAGAAGGTTGTTGCGAATGCACTATTGCGCATGTTTTTTTACATGTACATTTGTGCATGTCCATTTGAGCGAGTGTGTTTGTGCATGTTTGTGTATATGTATTAATGTCCTAGGATTGTAGTTTGTGTTTTCACGATCCTTTTTGCGAATGCACTTTTGCGTGAGTAATTTTGTGTGTGCTTTTGTACTATTACTTATGTGCGTATGTTTTGTCGCGAGTGTTTTTGTGCACGTTTATTGATTCGCATTCGTGTCCTCGTACTGTAGCACGTATTTTCATGATCTCTTTTGGAATCCAATTTTGACTACGTTCGAGTCCGAATTTGGAAATTTGACATTATACAGGAATTGTAGCTCGCTAAAATAGCTTTCTAATGCCGCCGGAACCAGTTGATTTGGAGTCCGGATGAGAAAGTTATGCTCGACTTCGTGGACACTACAGCGGAGATATCAGGGACCTCTCTTCTAATTTGATTAGATTTTCCTAATTGCAACTCTTTTCTTACTCTTTGATCACTTTTGCTTTGTTGACACTTAATTATCAATTTGTACCTATAGAATACTAAATCCACCAATTATAACAGAAATATAAATTAATCCATAAAATAATCCACGTAAACTTAAACGTCGAGTGTTATTTCTAAACTCCCATGTATCTTTTGTATCTAGTGTTTTTGCTATTGTTTGGTTATTCGTATTAAAGTCCTAGTGTTGTATTTCGTGTTTTTAAGAAGGTTGTTGCGAATGCACTTTTGCGCATGTTTTTTTACATGTACATTTGTGCATGTCCATTTGAGCGAGTGTGTTTGTGCATGTTTGTGTATATGTATTAATGTCCTAGGATTGTAGTTTGTGTTTTCACGATCCTTTTTGCGAATGCACTTTTGCGTGAGTACTTTTGTGCGTGTTTTTGTACTATTACTTATGTGCGTATATTTTGTAGCGAGTGTTTTTGTGCACGTTTATTGATTCGCATTCGTGTCCTCGTACTGCAGCACGTATTTTCATGATCTGTTTTGGAATCAAATTTTGTCTATGTTCGAGTCCGAATTTGGAAATTTGACATTAGACAGGAATGGAATTGTAGCTCGCTAAAATAGCTTTCTAATGCCGCCGGAACCAGTTGATTTGGAGTCCGGATGAGAAAGTTATGCTCGACTTCGTGGACACTACAGAAGATGTTGAGGGATCCTCTCTTCTAATTTGATTTGATTTTCCTAATTGCAACTCTTTTCTTACTCTTTGATCACTTTTGCTTTGTTGACACTTAATTATCAATTTCTACCTATAGAATACTAAATCCACCAATTATAACAGAAATATAAATTAATCCATAAAATAATCCACGTAAACTTAAACGTCGAGTGTTATTTCTAAACTCCCATGTATCTTTTGTATCTAGTGTTTTTGCTATTGTTTGGTTATTCGTATTAAAGTCCTAGTGTTGTATTTCGTGTTTTTAAGAAGGTTGTTGCGAATGCACTTTTGCGCATGTTTTTTTACATGTACATTTGTGCATGTCCATTTGAGCGAGTGTGTTTGTGCATGTTTGTGTATATGTATTAATGTCCTAGGATTGTAGTTTGTGTTTTCACGATCCTTTTTGCGAATGCACTTTTGCGTGAGTACTTTTGTGCGTGCTTTTGTACTATTACTTATGTGCGTATGTTTTGTCGCGAGTGTTTTTGTGCACGTTTATTGATTCGCATTCGTGTCCTCGTACTGTAGCACGTATTTTCATGATCTCTTTTGGAATCCAATTTTGACTACGTTCGAGTCCGAATTTGGAAATTTGACATTATACAGGAATTGTAGCTCGCTAAAATAGCTTTCTAATGCCGCCGGAACCAGTTGATTTGGAGTCCGGATGATAAAGTTATGCTCGACTTCGTGGACACTACAGAAGATGTTGAGGGATCCTCTCTTCTAATTTGATTAGATTTTCCTAATTGCAACTCTTTTCTTACTCTTTGATCACTTTTGCTTTGTTGACACTTAATTATCAATTTGTACCTATAGAATACTAAATCCACCAATTATAAAAGAAATATAAATTAATCCATAAAATAATCCACGTAAACTTAAACATCGAGTGTTATTTCTAAACTCCCATGTATCTTTTGTATCTAGTGTTTTTGCTATTGCTTGGTTATTCGTATTAAAGTCCTAGTGTTGTATTTCGTGTTTTTAAGAAGGTTGTTGCGAATGCACTTTTGCGCATGTTTTTTTACATGTACATTTGTGCATGTCCATTTGAGCGAGTGTGTTTGTGCATGTTTGTGTATATGTATTAATGTCCTAGGATTGTAGTTTGTGTTTTCACGATCCTTTTTGCGAATACACTTTTGCGTGAGTACTTTTGTGCGTGCTTTTGTACTATTACTTATGTGCGTATGTTTTGTCGCGAGTGTTTTTGTGCACGTTTATTGATTCGCATTCGTGTCCTCGTACTGTAGCACGTATTTTCATGATCTCTTTTGGAATCCTATTTTGACTACGTTCGAGTCCGAATTTGGAAATTTGACATTAGACAGGAATTGTAGCTCGCTAAAATAGCTTTCTAATGCCGCCGGAACCAGTTGATTTGGAGTCCGGATGAGAAAGTTATGCTCGACTTCGTGGACACTACAGAAGATGTTGGGGATCCTCTCTTCTAATTTGATTAAGTTTTCCTAATTGCCACTCTTTTCTTACTCTTTGATCACTTTTGCTTTGCTGACACTTAATTATCAATTTGTACCTATAGAATACTAAATCCACCAATTATAACAGAAATATAAATTAATCCATAAAATAATCCACGTAAACTTAAACGTCGAGTGTTATTTCTAAACTCCCATGTATCTTTTGTATCTAGTGTTTTTGCTATTGTTTGGTTATTCGTATTAAAGTCCTAGTGTTGTATTTCGTGTTTTTAAGAAGGTTGTTGCGAATGCACTTTTGCGCATGTTTTTTTACATGTACATTTGTGCATGTCCATTTGAGCGAGTGTGTTTGTGCATGTTTGTGTATATGTATTAATGTCCTAGGATTGTAGTTTGTGTTTTCACGATCCTTTTTGCGAATGCACTTTTGCGTGAGTACTTTTGTGCGTGCTTTTGTACTATTACTTATGTGCGTATGTTTTGTCGCGAGTGTTTTTGTGCACGTTTATTGATTCGCATTTGTGTCCTCGTACTGTAGCACGTATTTTCATGATCGCTTTTGGAATCCAATTTTGACTATGTTCGAGTCCGAATTTGGAAATTTGACATTAGACAGGAATTGTAGCTCGCAAAAATAGCTTTCTAATGCTGCCGGAACCAGTTGATTTGGAGTCCGGATAAGAAAGTTATGCTCGACTTCGTGGACACTACCGAAGATGTTTAGGGATCCTCTCTTCTAATTTGATTTTATTTTCCTAATTGCAACCCTTTTCTTACTCTTTGATCATTTTTTCTTTGTTGACACTTAATTATCAATTTGTACCTATAGAATACTAAATCAACCAATTATAACAGAAATATAAATTAATCCATAAAATAATCCACGTAAACTTAGACGTCGAGTGTTATTTCTAAACTCCACTGTATCTTTTGTATCTAGTGTTTTTGCTAATGTTTGGTTATGCGTTTTAAAGTCCTAGTGTTGTATTTTGTGTTTTTAAGAAGGTTGTTGCGAATGCACTTTTGCGCATGTTTTTTTACATGTACATTTGTGCATATCCATTTGAGCGAGTGTCTTTGTGCATGTGTGTGTATATGTATTAATATCCTAGGTTTGTAGTTTGTGTTTTCATGATCCTTTTAGCGAATGCACTTTTGCGTGAGTACTTTTGTGCGTGCTTTTGCACTATTACTTATGTGCGTATAATTTGTAGCGAGTGTTTTGTGCACGTTTATTGATTCGCATTCGTGTCCTCGTACTGTAGCACGTATTTTCATGATCGCTTTTGGAATCAAATTTTGACTATGTTCGAGTCCGAATTTGGAAATTTGACATTAGCGAGGAATGGTAGCTAGCTAAAATAGCTTTCTAATGCTGCCGAAACCAGTTGATTTGGAGTCCGGATGAGAAAGTTATCCTCGACTTCGTGGACACCACCGAAGATGTTTAGGGATCCTCTCTTCTAATTTGATTTTATTTTCCTAATTGCAACTCTTTTCTTACTCTTTGATCATTTTTGCTTTGTTGACACTTAATTATCAATTTGTACCTATAGAATACTAAATCCACCAATTATAACAGAAATATAAATTAATCCATAAAATAATCCACGTAAACTTAGACGTCGAGTGTTATTTCTAAACTCCACTGTATCTTTTGTATCTAGTGTTTTTGCTAATGTTTGGTTATGCGTTTTAAAGTCCTAGTGTTGTATTTTGTGTTTTTAAGAAGGTTGTTGCGAATGCACTTTTGCGCATGTTTTTTTACATGTACATTTGTGCATATCCATTTGAGCGAGTGTCTTTGTGCATGTGTGTGTATATGTATTAATGTCCTAGGTTTGTAGTTTGTGTTTTCATGATCCTTTTAGCGAATGCACTTTTGCGTGAGTACTTTTGTGCGTGCTTTTGTACTATTACTTATGTGCGTATATTTTGTAGCGAGTGTTTTTGTGCACGTTTATTGATGCGCATTCGTGTCCTCGTACTGTAGCATGTATTTTCATGATCGCTTTTGGAATCCAATTTTGACTATGTTCGATTGCGAATTTGGAAATTTGACATTAGACAGGAATTGTAGCTCGCTAAAATAGCTTTCTAATGCCGCCGGAACCAGTTGATTTGGAGTCCGGATAAGAAATTTATGCTCGACTTCGTGGACACTACCGAAGATGTTGAGGGATCCTCTCTTCTAATTTGATTTTATTTTCCTAATTGCAACCCTTTTCTTACTCTTTGATCATTTTTTCTTTGTTGACACTTAATTATAAATTTGTACCTATAGAATACTAAATCAACCAATTATAATAGAAATATAAATTAGTCCATAAAATAATCCACGTAAACTTAAACGTTGAGTCTTATTTCTAAACTCCAGTGTATCTTTTGTATCTAGTGTTTTTGCTATTGTTTGGGTATGCGTTTTAAAGTCCTAGTGTTGTATTTTGTGTTTTTAAGAAGGTTGTTGCGAATGCACTTTTGCGCATGTTTTTTTACATGTACATTTGTGCATGTCCATTTGAGCGAGTGTGTTTGTGCATGTTTGTTGATATGTATTAATGTCCTAGGATTGTAGTTTGTGTTTCATGATCGCTTTTGGAATCCAATTTTGACTATGTTCGAGTCCGAATTTGGAAATTTGACATTAGACAGGAATTGTAGCTCGCCAAAATATCTTTCTAATGCCACCGGAACCAGTTGATTTGGAGTCCGGATGAGAAAGTTATGCTCGACTTCGT